ATGGAAATGGTCATTGCTAACTAAGGTATGGTGGATCCAACCTTAGATAGGGCTTTGGGTTTAGGATTCTTCCTAGCTGGGGCGAGAAACCATAGGAATAGGATGGTGGGGTTCTGAGGGATCATATCGGGTTTAGGGTTTGGGGCTGAAGGGCTGTTTCTGAAAATCAGCTCGATAGATTCCTTGATACGGGCCTTCATCCCTCTGCAATCCCATGCCCCATAAAGGCCACCATCTAGAGAAACCTCCATTAAGGGTTCCTCAGCATTTTGTCATAGGGTAAGACAGGGACCATACTGGTGGTGATGTAGGGAACAGCTGTGCGATGACAAGTAGATAAATGGTGGCTTGGCCCCCCAATATAGACCCCGAAATACTATAATCCTTTTTCCAAAACGCCCATATCACATTACAAAGTGCTCATGTAGTTTTGGACACAAGAACTATAGGTGTTACAATTTCAGTCTTACCTGCTTATAGCTCGTGTTCCTCAACCGTAGACCCTAGACCCCAAACCGAAAAACTGTGAGTCCTAAACCCCCCACCCTAAACTCCAAACCCTAGACCCCAACCCTAAACTCCTAACCCTAAACCCCAAACCCACTCCAAACCCCCAACCCTAAGCCTTGAACTCCAAACCCCCAACCCTAAGCCTTAGACCCTATGCCCCCAACCCCAAACCTTAAACCCTATGTCCCCCCAAACCCGTGCATCCCCATATGAGGATATAGCAACCGGCTTCATAATTCCCTATAATCTAGGGCTTAGGGTTTAGGGCTTAATTCGGGTTTAGGGTTTGGGGCTTAATTAGGGTTTAGGGTTTTTCGATCTAAACTCCTGGTATCCCATATATGATCCCGTATATAACCCCCCTTTAAGGGTAATTGTTCCAAACACCTGTCTCCAAAATTGGCCGCGAGGTGTGTTCCCTTCCCAGCTAGGATTTTCCTTTCGGGGAAGTATATGAGTGGTTGTCAAAATTATGGTCCCTTTTTGGATCTCTATTATAATACGGCACCTAATACTTAGGGTACCCAAAAAAAGGGACCATAATTTTGACAACCACCCATATTACCGATGGTCCCACGCGGTTTAGGGTTTAGAGTTAATAGGGTTTACAAGGAATTTGAAACAAGTCCCATATAGTTCCCTAAATGAGCAACAACAACAACAACCTAAACCCTAAACCCTGAACCCTAACTGAGCGTAGGACAACCTCCCCACGAAGAGCCCACCGAAGGCCACGACCAGGAACGCAGAGAACACCATAAGTGACCGCCCGTGCTCCTTGGATAGTTGAGGCTTAGGGTTTAGGGGTTGAATGTAGACCCCTGATTAATAAACCCCCTCCCCTTAATAGGGATTATAATATGGATCCTAATAGTAAGCCCCTTAAAAGGAGGAGCTTGTTAATCATGGGATTACATTGGGGTTCAAGATATTTCAGGAGTCCTAGGCTCACGGGCGCTTCTTCGCAAAGAGAATCCCCTGCGATCCTAAAACATCCGGGAAGTTCGAGGCGGGCCACACCCTGATGATTTTCATAAGTGTTGCGGCGAATTTTTCTGATGAAAAATTCTCTAAACATGGGGCTTCGGTATAACATCCCAACTCCTAAGCCCTAAACCCTAAACCCAAACTCTAATTAATCCTAAGCCCTAAACCCTAAACCCTAAACCCTAAGCCCAAGTCCTAAACCCTAAACCCTAAACCCTAATCCTAAAAACCCTAAACCCTAATCCTAAAAACCCTAAACCCTACACCCAAATCCTAAACCCTAAACCCTAAACCCGAAACCCTAAACCCAAGTCCTCAAACCCAAAACCCAAAACCCAAATCCTAAACCCAAATCCTAAACCCTAAACCCTAAGCCATGCCCAAGGAGCTTTGAGCCGAGAATTTGAGGGTCCAGCGACGAGGCTGCAGAGGCGCAATGAAAAGTACAAGGTAACCTGGTAAGTATTTAGGGTCTGGGGGATTTAGGGTTTGGGGGATTTAGGGTTTGGGGGGTTTAGGGTTTGGGGGGTTTGGCGGAGTTAGGGATTGGGGTTTAGGCTTCGGGTTTAGGGTTTAGGGTTCTGTTGATCCTGAGGACCAGGAAGCGGAGTCGCAGGGCCATCCATGATCGAGGGATCTACTACACTTATTTAGAACTCCTGAAAGAGATAACTTCTAACAAAAACCAATCTAACCCTAAGGATCGAGGAACAGTACCCCAACCCTGAGTCCGGGGCCTGACCTTTTGCATCTTGAGCCATGCACATCGATTTGTGCGTGTCTTCCTTGCAGGAAGGGCAATGCGAAGCTTTGCTTACATATGCGGAGCATCCTCCAGATGCCGCCGAGCTCCTGAAAGCCGCACCACACATGAAGTGCAGATACAGTTTCTTAGGAGGATCAAGAGACTATACAGGGTAAATTCTAACTACTACAAAGGCGGGGGATGATCTATTCTTCATCATCAACACTCCTCCTCCCCAAAGCCGCCAGCTGCAGGGGCAACCCCGCCGCTGAAGACCCTGGGAATTTGGATGCATCTTGCTGTGGCTCGCGCTTCAGTGCACCTCTCAGTCCAACAAAGAAAGAGGTACGCAGAAATTAGCACCCCACATACAGATACCCCAGAAAGTTTGGCCCAGCTCCTTCTCACAAGGAGCTCATGCAAGCAACTTCGCTAGGTCCCCTAGCGGTTGCAAAGTTGACACAAGTGCCTTTCCTCAATCCGCCCTCCAAGCGGGAGTGAGGAACAATTCTTTCTGCTGTGTATGCACTGTCCATTCTTTGTCACATAAAGAGGCTGCTGAACACTCATCACGACTTCTCCGGGGGGCAAGCGCACGTCAGCCTGTACTCCGATACTCACCGAAGACACTGAGCGCCACTCACGCGTGTGTCTAGGAGGTGACTGAAATGGAATCTCTTCAAGCTCCGGCAACTCATCACCAGGAGAGGGATCTCTACCTGAAAGACCCTGCAGCTCAAGCTCGTGCTGAACTGCTTCCGAAGCCTTTAGCCTTGCGGGATTCGGCAGCCATCTCATCACCCCACATCCAAGCGACGAAGCGCTTAATACCTTCCCAGACTCCGATTGCAGCAATGATGATCAGGATTGTTACTGAGTACAGTTCCCAGGGAAAGCTCACCTTGAGCTCTGCAGATTCTTCACGCGCAGCACGCGAACCCTGCACTAACCACCCCAAAACTATGAGGGCCCTAAGAACTAAACCTAACACCCCGTTTGTAGCTGCCGCGGCTGGTGACTGAGTTACCAAAGCGCTAAGGCGCTGCCTCTCCTCTGTCTCAGGTGTCAAGCCCCAGAGGCAACAGAGTTCATCCAGACGAACCTTTGTAAACGCTTTAGTTCCTAAATCGGCCTTTTGATATTGCCCCGGAATGTGTTCAATCCGGAGGGCATTCTCTCTGACCGCCTGTCGCAGATGAAAAGCGCGTACACGTAGATGTCGGGTTTTCCATGTACCGCTCGCATCTGTAGATAAAGCAATGGCTGCGGTGTTATCTACCCTAAGGGGTAGGACCGGAGGTTCATTGTGGAGCTCTGCTGTAAAGGCAGCAATGCCAGAGAGCATCTGAACCGCATTGATGGCCTCAATCAGCTCTGCCTCTGCGACTGATAGGCTGACCAATGTCTGTCTGCCGCAGCGCCAAGCTACTGGCACACCATTGTAGCACACCATGGAGCATCCCAGGGAGCGCCCCCCCTGAGGCGCGAATGACGCGTCAGAGTAGGCGATAACTATGTTCCTGTCGCTGCATTCAGCTCTACCATACTTGAGGACGTAGTCGAAGGTCTCCTTCAAATATGCTAGCGTCCGCAGGCCAATTCTCTCAGCCAAAACAGGCTTGCGCAAACATAAGGACGACATAGTCGATACTGCGTGCATCACATCTGGCCGTGAGCGTGTACTTAGCCATAACAGTTCGCCTGTAAGCTTTTGAGCTCGTGCCAAAATCTCCTCGCTGTAAGCAACAGCCTCGAGATCTACTTCACATAACAGCCAGTTTTGAGGACATGGCGTCAAGGAACCCGGTGCTTCAAGTAGACTGTGATGTTTGAGAACCTCCTTCAAGTACCCGCGCTGGAATAGACTGAAACCATTAGCAGACCTGAGAAGCTCGGTGCCCAGAAAGCGAACAGGTTCATCTTGGCCAATCCAAGCCAAGCCTGAGGTTTTCGACTCACTGGCCAACCAGGTATGCGCTGCTGTAATGGCCTCCACAGTACCTACACACAGAAGGTCATCCACATATACAGTGATGTAACCGATGATTTCCTCATTATGGAGTAGCACACTTGCCCAAGTGTTCTCATCAGTGCGAAGTTGGCGTAGAACTGCACGACTTGAACCATAATCAAACTCGCCTCTGCGAAGTCGGCCATCGCGATATAGCCCCCAAAGACGAGGGCTCCTCCTGAAACCACACAACGCCCTATCTACTCGAAAGAGCTGATCAGCACAAGGAACTTCAGCCATCCTGAAAACCTTGGGCATGAACAGGGCATATGTCACCGAACCTGTGTCCAGTGGTGCTAAAAGGAAGGCATTCCGAATGTCAGTGATTGCCCCATGCCACTCGCAATGAACAGCTCTGGCCAGCATGGTTCGCAGCAAATCCATCTGGCATCCTCCAGCGTAAGAATCCTCGCCCTGCTTGCCCTCGAAGTTGCCACAGATTAGAAGTCTGGCCTTTCTTTTAAACAGCGAGTCCGCATGAGCAGCCACTGATTCAGGAGCAGGTAGAGCTACTTCATCAGGAGGTTTTATCGTGAATACCCCTTTCGCCGGAAGAACAAACAAAGTTCCAGAACCCTCGAGCGCCTGGCGTTCAGCTTCAGACAAAGGAGTCAAGGCGTGGGCGTCCCAAAGCGCTTGAAATTCCTTAAGGATGGCCGCCTTCCATTTCATCATGCGCCGCTTGACTTCCTCTAATGCAACTGTGTAAACAACCTTAACAGGAGCAGTAAGTGTATCAAGCATTGCTTCCACACCATGAACTTCGTCATCCTCTGCTTCAACCATCCTACAAAGCCGGAACCACTGTTCTACATCACATGGGTCTCCAGCAAACTGCTTGTCCAAGGCCCGTAACGCAGCTTCTGCTTCAGCTATCGCGGTATCAGAGGAAGCAAACTCTTCATCCAAGCATGGCGGCCTGATGTTCCTTAGCTGCTCCTCCTCATCCAAAAGCCGCCGAAGCCACACGA